CACATTGTATTGCGTATTCCGACGCCAGCAGCACAGGCTGTGGCGCCATAGTAACATTAGACCAGGATCATATATGTCACAGGCTGTGGGAACTGAGTCGGAAATTTCCAAAAGCTCGACGTGGCGAGAGTTAAGTGCTATTCTATATTCACTGGAATCTTTTGGCCCGATACTCGAGAACTCGCATGTAAAATGGTTTACAGACAATCAGGGCGCAGCGAAAATAGTGGAAGTAGGAAGTATGAAGGTTGATTTGCATGCTTTAGCTATAAACATTTTTCAAACGTGTGTACATAAGAATATCAGATTGGAAGTAGAATGGATACCTCGTACGGAAAACGAACAAGCTGATGCTATAAGCCGTTTCATAGACACAGATGATTGGCAGCTTTCCGCAGGGTTCTTTGAAGTAATCGAAGGAAGGTGGGGTCCCCATACCTTAGACTGTTTCGCTACGTTTTGTAACAAGAAAGTAGACAAGTTCTTTTCGAGATTTTGGAATCCTGGAACAAGCGGTATCGATTTTTTTGTACAAGATCTAAGTGGAGAAAATTGCTTAGTGGTTCCTCCTGTTGTCCTGTTACCTAGGGTTCTACATTACATGAAGGCAGTTAACGGTGTCGGCACAGTCATAGCGCCTTATTGGCCTTCGTCGTGTTTCTGGCCTTTGATCCGGGGGGTCTATGCTAACTTTGTCAAAGATTCCATTACTGAATGGGGTAGGGTAGCCCTTATTCATGGKYGTAACWCTAAATCCCTACTGGGCTCGCAAAACTTCAATGGAATGGTTATTGCCTTTAGATGCGATTTTAGCTGTAAGTGAATCGGTAAGTGGGTCCCTGGCGTAATGTCTTTTAGGATTATGTCGCTGCACTAGCAAGGATTCATCGAGTAGTTTTTTGCGCTGGCAACGATCTATTGAGGATTTTGACTGCACTGGCATTGATCCATTGAGTATTGTATTGCGCTGGCAATAATGTATTGAGTATGTTTTGCACTGGCAATGATTTATAGAGTATTGTATTGCACTGGCAATGATCGATTGAATATTGTATTGCACTGGCAATGATCTATTGAGTATTTGACTGCACTGGCAATTTGTGATTATTGAAAACGGAGACCTGGCTCCAAAAGAAGGCAATGATCGATTGAATATTGTATTGCACTGGCAATGATCTATTGAGTATTTGACTGCACTGGCAATTTGTGATTATCAAAGAAAGTTTTTGTTGAACAAATTGTTCACAAAAGAAGAAGTCCCAAAACAAAGCGTAAACGAAAGATTCCATCTCTACAGTCGTAATTTTAGTGGTTTTGATTGAAGGCTTGCATTGCCGGATAACATGCTAACAATAGAAAGAGAGATTTTGAATATCGAAGAGCACTTTGACCAGTCATCAATGCAAGGAGCAATAGAGGCCAAGGAATATCTCGAGGAACTTTTGAATTATCCTGACAAAGGCCTTTTGGAACATGAAATAATCATCAGTATCAATAATAAACTGCTCCAAAACGATAAACTGTGTGCTTATTGCACAAACCAGAGAATGACCACTTACCAGGGTCAGGAAATATGGTACTGCGATCCAAAGGATATTCAGTCTAGAATGCAAATTATAGTGGATTGTTTTAATTATAAAACCATTTATTGCTGCCAGGTTTTAGAGGCGCTTGCCGAATTTGTCCTAGCTTTCCTTGCCGTCCATCCATTTTCAAACGCCAATGGAAGAACTATCAAGTTTCTAATATGGTACGTTTTGGAAAGCTTTTACGAAGTTAAAACCTTCTATACTATTAGCTACAGTAGATGGTGTAACATAGTGTATCACAAGTCACAAGATTCTCTGTTGGATTGGTTTCAAACTATGATATATTAATAATAATAATCGCAAATACAATGATGTATCAATGGAAATAAAAAATAGGTCAACAACGATCCATTCATGTTTTCAAAAAATATATCATATGTAATACCTTAACTTTAAGTTTATGGAATAAAATGTTTTACAGCAATGGTTTGCGTCGGAAAATGGTTTCTAATCCCATTCCAATCTCTTTTCCGGGGTCATTCCGAAAGATTCCCGGAGTCTTTCCGGGGGCGCTTCGGGCCATTTCCGGGCCACCCGGACAGCTCGGGGTTTTTTTCCGGACCTTTCCGGGCCTTTCCGGACCAATTTCCGGGCCTTTCCGGACCATTCAGAATTTTTCCAAGTAATTTGTGACTTTTAAAACAATATGAAACAAGTGAAATATAGATTCCAGGAGTTAGAAATATAAAAATAGGCTAAAAAACATTACTTTGGTTAATCAAACTCCTTTAGCAGGTGATCTATTGTCTAAGAACAAAGGCAATCATAAACCTTTTCTCTGTCCAGAATAATTTATACGATCGTTCAACCTTGACATAAAGCTATGCGCTTCTTATAAATATAACACGCCATTTTCTTGTCAGTTGTTTAATCCTTGCTTTCATTTAAACATGAACCACATCACAGAAATAGTATTAATGCATCTTTCTTTGATCGTGTAATCTTCAGTGAAGATTCTTCTAACACAGCATGAGCTTCTTCAA